GAAGAATGCTACATATTTACCCTACCATATCACCTCTTGGGTCAATGGATGAAAGCAGGTACATATTTACTCTTCTTATATTAACCACAAATAATAGTAAATTTAACCTCATGTACAACGGCAATATTAAACAATCAGGCGTACGTTACTGTCCACAGGTATGTTGTATAATGGCACACTCGTTTACTTCAATACTCTCCACTGCTCTCCCAACATTATAAACATTTATTCACGTCTAATAAATAGAATATCTCTTAAGGGTGCAGTTATTGTCACAGGTTTCTGTACAAATTATCTATAACTCTATTTTCTCAGGTAACAAACAGAACAAATTTACTCTCAAGGTATGTCAATTTAACGGGCTGAAGATACTTTACTCGCCGACTTCAGCCAAACACTGTACTTCTCCCTCAGAAAAAAAACCAATGTAACTGCTGGTTGTTTAAATGAATGAAATGTATTTTTACATTGCCAGATTCATTCTTACAGAAAGTTTGTATTCAATAAATTTAACTTAAGTTGTGCCCCACACAAATGCACGTAAGGTAACAAACTTCAGATTTTTCTATAAACAAACCAAATACTTAAAATTGACAATTTACAAACTCCTCTGTCACTCCACTACATTTTTTCTTAAGACCTTATCAACTAACAATAAATCAAAGAAGTCAATCCCATCCTCAAAGTCCAGTGTATACAAGAAATCCTGTGTACTTTATCTCTGTGTCCGGTCAAAATAAAGCACCAAGTCCGACCTCTCCTCTACAATTTGGCCGTCTGTTGTGACTTCCGTTTGTGTTAATAATCTATACACAGGCCCAACACTACAAGAATTTAAGTTGAAAGCTTGGCATGCTTCAAACACCCAGTTGGTCACATGGCCCAATTACTGTATTTTGAGGAAACAATCGCTGGGGCATATCCCTTGTGTAGTGTCACACTTGAGCTGTCACAGAAATATCTTAGCTCAGGGACAGTTTTAGAGGAAGAGTCCAACTAAAAGAGGGCTATCCAGGTAAACACATCAACTTATCTATGCAGAACATTAGATAAGAACACACCCATATCTTTATTAACCTGAGAGGGGTAAAGTAAATCTGTGGGAATAAATAGCTTGTGAATGATGAGTACTTATATCTTTATTATATAGTCAATTCATACCTCTTACTATAGTATAATTGATAATAAACTGTATATCTACAATAAGTAACTCTATATCCGAGCAGATATTTATACTGTGTACACTATACAAGGAAAACCATAATATAATTGACACCTAGACAATCACACTAACTAAAACTAACTCGATTACAGAAAACATTTTCTTTAAAAACGCATTAAAGCTTTTTAACAGAAAAATAAATGACCCTAGACAGCAAAAAATTTAACAACTGGTCTACATTGTTGATAAGGATCAGTTAAAATTTTGAAATGCATTACCGATAGTTACATGTGTAGTACATATAGCTCATACAATCAGTTATAGAATATAGATTGACAGATCTTTCTCAAATTTTGCCAACAAAATAATTTGCAAAACACCCGATATAACATCTGATTCTCATGGAATTAATCAGATGTGATATTTCAATTAGTGGTAGATCAAATCTTGTACAGATAAATTTTCGAGGTAAATGGAAATCAATTTATTTACAGTTTCAAGTAACTGCACATGGTATTATAATTAAAGGGCATATTTTTCAAAACATTATTGTAAATTTCTTATCAATTATGTTGGGTGAAATTCAACATCCGATTGCACCTGCTTATTCCATTCTAAACCCATACAAGTTTTTTAAAATATTATTTTGACATTTGTGAATCAGAAATATTTAATTACTTCTGCATTGTCATGTGGAATATGTTTGTCTTTATTTATTACAAATGGCATCCGAAACCATAGGGTACACCACGATGTGTGCTAATTACAAAATGTTCATGGTGTCTCAAAGTCAAATACTTATTAGGATCCCATATTTTTTTAATAGTAAGATAACAGCATCAATATAGATTGAAACTGGCCAATTTTCAAAAATATAATTCTTGTTGGTAATTTTGAATATGAGAGGATAAGTTCCTATATACCAAAAATTAGATTTATTTCAGTATTGGATTAATATAAAATATTTTCATGTAGAAAAACTCACAAAATTAAATAATGTATCAACACTTTCCCTTTCATTCCAAATCGAAGTCATGTACTTTTAGATGTATTATCTATCTCACCAAGAAAATCAATGCAAATATTAAATCATAAAAAAAGCCCTGGCCTGACCTAATACTCGAAAATACAAGACCTGATCTACTCCTTGAAAACCACTCATAAATTGAAGACTGAAATGTCTAAATATCAGCAATGCCTTAGCAGATGTGTCTCAAATTTTGAATGCAACCTAATTTTAACATCCCTGGTGTAACTGTATAGTCAAATCCTGTCAAATAGGAAATAATCTTTTTAAGAACCCAAAGTGCTAATGCCTTTTTAATTAACTTGATTGAACTCTGTATGCTAATGTCAATTTGACACAAATTAAAACAATTGCTTTGAGTAATTAAGCATCAAGTCAATAGGATTGACAAACATGTATAAAATTTAACACTTCAACATTAAGTAGAGGATAAATTCTCTCTTGACATGGCCGTATTATTTACAGAATAAATGTCTCTTTCCTTGTATCAAGTAAATACTGTCAACTAGCCAAACTGGGCTATAAATATATAAAATACAATTATATTCATTCTAAGCTTATCTTTTGATTTCAGTAAAAAATGTGTTTGTGTTTGTTAAAAGCCATGATCCTATTTATTCTAGAAAAAAAAGAGGAATTTCATATTACATAATATTATATGCAGTATCTTAATGATTATTTCATATTTTCTTTAGATACATCTCTACATGTAAGCTTCTAAAACAGTCAAATTTATTCCATGAAATGTCTAATTAGCAACACTACTATAACGGTTTAATGTGTATCCAAAGTTTCAAAAATATATCTAGATATATGTTTCAGAAACCAAATAGACAAATAGAGCCCATTTCAATTTTTCATCTTAACTTCATTCAGTACGGAATTAAAAAAACCTACTTAAAGGTAGGGCTAGCTTGTTTTAGAAAATAACATAAACCAATCAAATATGTAGAACGCTAAATATGTACTCGGATTGATTAATTAACATTTAATTTAGGGAAAAAAATCAAAATACCAAAGCTAATCACTCAGCTTCAATTCAATCAGATTTAAACTAGGCCCATCAGATTTCTCCGTTACCAAGAAAAGATGGCTTATTAATAATAGTGAGAAGCAGAGATCAATGAAATTTCAATTTATCATATCTTTGGAAATACTGAATGAAATTGAACCATTTTGGACTGATATTCCTATTAGAGATTCCACTTTCAGAATATTGTAGTTTGCAAGTGATTCCTATAGCGCTAAAGGACACATCACACCTTTAAGTTAGAACTGATTATCCTGAATAATTTTTGTACCAAAAATAATTTTGATTGTGTATCGTCTTAAATTCTATAGATAACTTTTATTCTGCAAGTTAGGGCTTAAACTTTTTAAGACATTGAAATTTCAGGAGTTCTAAATCAAAGGATTTTTCTTCTTTGTTTTTGTATTGTTAAAAGAAGAGACAAGGAAAGTTGGTGTTGATTTTTCATGCCTTTTATTTAAATAGTTGTATTAAGTGTCAATATGTTTTTGTGACAATTTTGTCTTCCACCCATTTAGATCCAAATAATGTCAAGAGTAGGATATCAATAAAGAAGATGAGATTTGAAATTAAATTCTCTTTAACACTACTTCAATGTTTCTTCCAAAACTTTGTTTATTTTTCACAGTAACACAAAATATCTCTTCAACAAAAATGTTGATATTTATTTATTTTTTGTTTTGTTATTTTTTTTATTTTCAAGGAAAACCACATAGCTTACATGCAGAGGAATGAAAGAATAAAATCGAAAGCTAAAACTATTGTTTGCTTATCACGTAAAAGCTCATACACTTGTGTTCATTTTAATGCTGCTGTTGAGGTACAAAAGTTACTCTGTCTACAATTACCTCAACCTGAGAACAGACATAAAGCTGGATGACGAACATCTTAAATCTCGTAATCGATGGTTTTAGTCAAAAGTATCCTTCGAGAAATTTGAGATGTATTTATTTCACTTCAATTTAATAAAAATGAAAATATTTCTTTAGTATTTTTGTGCATGAAAGATGTAAAACGGATAAGAACCTCATTACAAAATAGAATACTAATATTTCAATAAGGCGGCCATTCAGAGCAGAGATCTATTCTAAAAAAGTAAATAGTTTTTTGTGAGCAGAATATCATATAGACAGACTATCCTGCATTTGATATACTACTATCTATCTATACACTTACCTTGCTTTTACATTGTTATAAATTATTTTGGCGCATTGTTACCTCCATCTATTCTGACCTCCTAATGGAAGTTGAAAAAGTGTCACGCAAGAAGCAGGGTGGTATACAATTTTTGTCAAATGGCCTTTTTTCCATTAACTAAATTAATTTCCAACATTTCTGTGTTTTACAATTAGCACTGTGCTTTTTATTTGAATGAAGGGCTTCATTATAACATTGTTGGTAGCCATGATGACAACTGTCTTATAAAGGGGTCTCAGTGTACATAATAACATTGTGGAGGTCAATGAAATAAAAATAGACATATTTAATTACTATCCAATTCCTTTTACCTGATCCAAATTCAATTTAAGAAAGAGAATGAAAATCACTACAATCTTTTAGCATTGATAGTGGTCAAAAGTTATTCTGTTAGAATTGTAGTGCTATTCAAGAAAATTTAGCGCTCTCTGAATTTGATACATTTGCATTTTTGTGTTGGAGAATTCCAGATACAATTGCATTTTTCTCTCTCATCCACTGACTCAAGGATCAAGGCACTGACTATTGGGAGTTGATAATATTTAGTAGTGACCTGTTGGTGTCTAAATAATGATTTAACATACCGGTTGGAATCTTTCTGTGTTTTATATGCCATAGACAATTCATCATCTTCATTAACCAGATTATCTTGTCCACTATATGATTCTTTAGCTATAGTATGTGTTGAGATAGTACGATCAGCTAACAGGGCACGTAATTGTAGACATTCTTCTCTACGTCTATCTAACTCATCACACATAGCATCAAACTTTTCTATAATATACAATATACAACAATTATTATCATTTCTATACACAAATATAAACCCTCTAAAATATTGTTATGAATCGTAAAACATTAAATATTTGTATGTTGTTTTTTTTTTCTTATCTAAATAACTATAATACATCAGAGTACATGAAATCATAGTACATGCAAAAGTTTGAGCAGATAAAGACTTTTTCTTTAAAATGTAAAAGAATAAAAATATAAAAACTAAAAGTTATCAAATACAATGGCTATAACAAGTGCAAGATACTAGCATTAACACCATTTCTTAAAAATATTGCAAGAAACATTTGTTAGTGCTTGATAAAATTTGTGATATTAATACCTTAGTATAAAGTTAGTGATATTATACCTTCTATATTAATATTAATACTATTATGGAGTGAGTCCATCATTAGAATCTCCTTAAATCATGCAGTCATATTTCATGGGAATAATCTAGTAAATTCTAACACATGCATCATTATCAACAAAATAGGATTTGGATTTTGAACATTCTAACATGAAAAATTATAAATCTTTTGAAGACCTGCATGCACTAAATTTATGTTTTTCTTGCAATGTTTTTGTACTATTAGTTAAGATCACCTCTTACCCTTGGATGCTCCTTTTTTCTTGAATTTGTCTAAAGATGAAGCAAAGAAAATACGATCAAAGACCATGCCATAAAGCAGCCAATCAGATATAAGCGATGAATAAAATACCCAATACCACATGCAATAGTAGAAAGAAGACAAGGACAAATTAAAATAAAACAGAAAAACTATTCTAATAACTACCCTGGCAGTAAGCTTTCTTTTCAGAATATGGATGAAAATGTAATGTGTGCATACACATTTCACACTTATGACTTAATGCTATTAGATCTGTATGGTATGTCTATTTTAAGTTTCATAGTGTACCATACCTTTCCTAAGAGAACTCTCTATTTCTATTCAGATTTACCTGCACACATTTTTTTTTTGTTTATTTCAAATTATTTTTTTGAGAAGTAATTTAAGATTATCAAGATAAATTTTACAGTAGCCAAACGTCTTTGATTTAGGTGAAATGAAATGAAATGGGGTTTAACGTCCTACTGTTCTGCTCCTAACCCGGCTAATGAAGACGGGGAGATTTAGGTTAAAATAAAGTATTGAATTGAGTTGATCTGATGTGTTATTTTGATTACAGGTAGTAACAGTTAAAGTGATTAAATGTTTGTTTAGAAAGATTATGAGAAAATTTACTAGTGTTACTCAATTTTTTTGCTTTCTGTAGAACACAAAACCGGATATATTTTAACACTGGCTTTATCGAAAGACATAAAATATTTAAGGAAGACAGATTGTCATTCTACAAAACAAATCAACCAAATAATTCAAAGAAATCCATCATTTTATTTTTGAACTAAATCCAAAAAATCTAGACAATTTAATCAGAGAGGGACTGTCACAAGATCTAATCTAAGAGTATAATATTACTGTCAACTTTGATGGCCTTCTTGTATTTGGACAAAGTAAGACTTTTAAATGTCATAAAAATCTTTTGAAAACTTTGTTAAATTTTAATCCGGTCTATTCACTAAGTATCATGAAATGTGCTATATATATTGAACATGACATAACAATGAAACATTCAACTCTATCTGTCATTCTATGTTGTATTTCATAAGGTAATTCACTGTGAAAATATCTTAAGACCGCAAAATATGTGAAATGTGTATATTTGAGTTCTATAAAAAAATAAATGGTCAAATCTTATTTTTATCCTATCTTATGTTTAATACAATGAAATGTCAACTATAATAAATGATTTTAATCAAATACTGTGTAATGAAAATAACCCAAATCTTGATGGTCAATATAGACAAATAATACCAATACTTTGGCAGGTGAGTTTGATAGAAAAGTAGTATGAACATGTAACAAAGAAGTATTACATATATAGACAAAAATATTACATAACATCTATTCAGGCTGAATATGTATTACAAACTACAGAATACATGATTTCTGGACTTTCTATATTTACTCCATTAGGTATTGTCGGTATTTTTGTTGGTTTTATTTAAATTAAAAAAAAAAAAGATTTTTGAAATAAAACCTTTTTTTGTTTTAGTATGTGATTAAAGAATATCCAGCAATCATTTTGTAAGACATTAATCCTCTAGCACCTCAACTAAAACATTAATATATTAGTACCCAAAACTAAACTAAATAAATTCAATTTGACATCTACATTTAAAGACTCACCCATGAACTTTTTACCAGAAGGAGAAGTTTCACCACTTCTGTCATCCAGATCACTACTATCAGCTAGAGCACCCATTAAACGTTTGACTTCTCTCTTTAATTTATCATTCTCATTTTCTAATTCTTGCATCTGTTCAAATTTGTTAAAAATAAAACAATGTAGAAATAAATCATCAATAAAATTTAAGTGTTAATAGAACTCAACAAATATTTTACTCCAAATGGTTCAACAGTAAATATGTTTTTGAATAATCACATTAAATGTAAAAATTTAATGAATATGCATCAATGTAGTATGTGTTTCTGTAAAGCTGTGTGACCCGTAAATCCATAATATTTCATATGTATATTACTATTCCAGTTAAATTACCTGAGTGGTTAGGAAGGTCACTTATTAAGGGCAATTGAATTCTATTGGTAGCAGGGGTTTTAAAAATGTGCTGCTTGTTTTACATGAAATTTGTAGACAAAAAAAACTACTGGTCGAGTGGATAACACATATTTTGTTGGTAGGTCTACAAAACATGACGTTCCAAATCATCCTGGTACCAGTAATTTTAAATGGAACAATCTTATGATGATAATTTAATTGGTTTTAAAAACAAATACATTTGATTGAACATCATTTTTTGATTTTGTGAATGGATTCTAGTATATTATATATTTATTAGTGTAGAGAATATATGTAAATACAGTAGAATCTGCATTAAGCAGCCACCCAAGGGAATTTTTACAACTGACCACTTAACGGGAGTGGCCTCTTAATAAAATCTTGGTGCTTTTTGTGCTGACATAAATTAAATATTACGCTTGGATGCATTGGAAGCGAACATCAATACTTGCATCGGTAAATTTTACCATCGCTGAATCTTGCGCCGAACGAAAATTCTTTACTCAAATCTTGGACATAACTTCTGTAAACTTGTCATTTTGTAACAACCTTCGATACTACTGTCTACCATTGTGATGCATTCGATAATATTTATCCATTTTTGTGAAGAAAATCGATGAATAAATTTTATTTTATCAAAAAAGCACTTGAACAAAAAACCATCGATGATTTTATCACATATTCATAGGGGGTGTAACTCTGTATGTAATATTATAGGAGGCGCTAAAACATCTGTTTAACAACAAAGTGGCAATGGAAAAAAGATACTAGATGATCGTGACAAAACTCGGTACTTTTATTTTATTCAGTGTAAAATAATGTGTCGTTACGCATCAAAACAATGATCAGGTTAGTCGTTTAATAAAACAAAAGATTAATTAACAGATAATCCCGGGTTGATTGTTATTTTTACATTTCTTTTTACCTGATCAGTGGGGGTCCAGTTAATTAACTACTACTCACGGGATTAGCGGGGTTGTATCATTCAACAATGGCGATTGAATGGGCGATGTTTTGTTGAATTTATTAGTAAAATAGTGACCGCTGGCTGCGTTAGAGGAGTGACCATTGAATAAAGAGATGAAACAACAGAATTTTACGGGGGGGGGAATTTATTGTGACCGCTTACAAGGAGATGGCGCTGAATAGGAGTGGCTGCTCATACAGATTCTACTGTAGATGTAACATTATTTATACTTTTGTTACTGTAGAAGTTCAGAGCTATTGTGTTAGATCATTATGTATTATAAATATATATTTGTCACCAATACACTTAATTGAGCTCCATCATTTGTAAGCATATACTTGTAAATTACATAAATAATATTACGATAAATATAATCTACAATAGTATTATCGTAACATGCACCTTCACCCTATAAAATCAGATTCATAAATTACACAATATAACACCAAAACTACATTATGATCCACCATATCACTGGTGAACCATGTAATGATAAACTTTGGATAATGACCTGGTTATACCAAAATATTTAATTTAAGAGAATTGTATCATTGCATGATAATAACAAAATTTCTAAGCCTCTAAATAGAGTGAAATGGTAGATGATAATTATATTGTTTAATTTATATTATATATTGTAAGATTGATTATTTAGATATATTGTAGCTAATTGGAGTCCAGTTGATACCTTAAGGCTATGGTAAGCCATATTACCACTTAATATTGGTGTTTCATCATCATGTTCATCTCTTTCTTCTAATTTATTAGTTAATTTTGTGTTTAGGATATCAAGATCCTTGACACGTTTTTGTAACTTGATGACTAGAGCCACATCTTCAGCATTGACCATTTGGTCCTGTTGAGCCAATTATTGAATTGTATACAAAAAAAAATTCAAACAAGACCGACATACAAAAACAAATACTGTCAACAATGATTCCAGCAAATATGCAAACTATCCATAAATAAAAATTCTGCTACAATCAATTTTAGTTGTCTCAACTCTTTTGGATCGTCTGCCAAGATCTTCCCATATATTACAGATTTAATTTGTTTGCTTCTTAAACACCTTGAACATTCTGTCCAAAATTGAAATAATTTTAGTTTATTCCCAAATATTTTATCAAGAATTTCATATTTGGTGTAAATTATTCCATATAAATACTGACCTTAAGAGCGTTAAATGCTGAATCATTCATTACAGATGATGGCGACATGCTACCGTCTTCAAAACTTTCAATTCTTGTTGTTAATTTTGATTTCTGTTTTTCTAAGTCTTTCACTTTGTTTTGAAGTTTGAGTAAAAGTCCTACATCAACATCAGCTTCCTGAAAACCAACAATTATTGAAATTATCAGAATTTATCATGACTGGTATCTATAATGTTGGAGCAAGCACAACACTTTAAACAAGCCACAGAATTTTATCTGGGTATTTACAAACATATTTAATATTAGTCAAATTTCAGAAAATTCAAATAAAGTGAAAATATTTCATAACAGAAAAGTGTTTTGCAACTCTGTGAAAATAGCACAGCAGTTCATTTGAAAATGGCTATAAATTAGACCATACTAATCCTATATCTACACCATCAGTGTATCGATAACCAAGCATGTTCGAATATAAAGACAGCTTGGAGAATTAACCACAGAATATATTAACTACATCTTCAATGAGCTAATTTAAAAAAATATATTCTGGATATTCTGATCTACATGTAGAATATATAATACCGGGAGGTACAACCTCCATTATAATCATTCTTATTACAAGTTTTTGCAACAGTCTACTTACTCAGTACATCAAACTCAGCTATATGATCTAAACATTTATTTTACTATTTAAATAATTTATATTTTTTATTATTATCTACCTTTCGACCAGTAACTTCATTCATCACCTTGTCTAGAATATTTGGTCGCTGTGCTTCGGACTTTCGTTTGACTGTATCATAACCTTGATCCTTTTTTTAAAAAAAGCAAAACAAGTAAGCAAATTGGATAATGTGTGAAAAAAACCTGCTCAAAATAAACAAAGGCTTTAGATCATTTTCTTATAACGTATTGTTCAACCCTACAGAACCATCATCCTATTCTAGCAAACAAACACAGCTATATTTCATTCGAAGCCAAAAAAAAAAACAAGTACAAGGGTATTATATGGACTACATACCGCTGTCACCTTGGAATTGCGTCGTCATATCAAAATTGATGCACAATTGTCAAAGGAACAAAGATGGCAAATTTTATGTCAGTTTTACATGTATGGCCACCCCCCTCCCCCGCCAAGAACAACAACAAACAGATGAGTAGAGCTTTGGGACCAGTTTCTACTCCAAAAAGCTTTTACCTATTAGGTCACAATACTAACTACAATAAAACATGGAGTAAACATGTAAAAGTATTATTTGAATTTGAATAATAATTAACAGCTATACCTCTTCCTTTTCTTCATTATTTCTCTCAGCTTCTGCAGAACTACTGTAAGATTCTATACTAACAGCGCTTATGTCTGATGATGACCGCTGATGACCTGTAGGACTCGTCACAATTTGCAATTCACCTTGTAGATTCTCCAGTCTTTGTTGAAGGCGGCCATGTTCTTTAACAAGTTTTTGATGATGACTACGCTCAGATGCAAATTCTGCTAACAATAATTTATTTGCTGCCTCCAACTTTTCTTTCACTATATCTATAAGAAATTCAAGAAATTTATATCTTCTATGTTTAATATCATAAGAGATAGAGAGTTTATTGTTCACTCGATGTTAACCAGGTCATTTTGGGACTAACACATTGCATATTTCTATAATTCGCTTAAGAGCAGTATTTTTTTTCGAAATGAGAGGAAAAGGAAGAACTTGGAGATAACCCACGATATTAGACACAAGGTTAGAAAACACATCTGTTGTATTGATGATTAATCGCATTAAAAAATTCAAAATCTCTAAAATACCTGCAGTACTGGTTTCTGCTTCCTTAAGTTTCTCTTTAGCTTTATTTAATTGATTTTTCATTTGTTCTTTTTCTTCCAACACACCATCAACTATCTGTTAATAAAACATAATACAAGGTTCTTAGAAATATAAACGATCCTTATTCATCAAGTCACAATTACTATTTTTTGTTTACATTTAAAATTTAATTTTATTCTAAGAACACAAACAAACAAATAAATAAGTCACCTTATTGTGTTCTTGTTTCATTAGTTCCTTTTCTGTAATTAGATCCTGTTTTTCTGTTTGTTCTTTAGCTAGTGCTGTTCTTAATTTTTCTATTTCTGCTAACAATTCTGCTACTTTATTAGATGATTCTTTAGCAACTTCCTTATTTTCCTTCAACCGATGTATTTCAGTTTTCAGCTCAGATATCTTTTTCTCTTCTTGTTTAACTTCAATAATTTCTTTGCTCTGAACATGGAAAAGATGTTTGCTGATTAATTTGTTTGATGATGTATCATCAAGTATATAACTATGTTGTTTGTTACGTAAGTTGATTTGTATTATGTTAAATATAGAGTTTAAACCTTATACAATCAAAAGTACACCATTGATATGGCAGCACAAAATTCTGGTTCTCAGATATTGTTGCGTTTTCAGAAATGAGCCGCGCCACCCATTTTTATTTATATCAAAAAATAAAAATGAAAACAAAGTTAATAATTTCCGCATATTCATATTTCCTGCGATCAAGGGAAGTAACTATTAAATGTTTCTTGAAGAGAGGAACTGAACACTAAGACTCCGCTATCAAGTATGCAACCATGAGAAAAACTACTGACAATTAAGAACGGCACTGGATAATTGATTGTTAATTGTTATTCTGCAATGATAGTGACAATTTTGCTGTCAATATGTCTTTTTTATGATGAAAATACCTTCTCTAGTGATCCATTTTATCTTTCCCAAGAACTATGACTGAAAGTAATCTTTGTTGGGAGAGTTAAATCACCCGAATATCAATGCTTTGAGAATGAGTAAACTATCGATACCACGTAATGGTCACCAAAACAAAAACCCAGGGATTCGTAAACATTTTCCCAAGAGTTAGTCTAGACAAAATTACAGAATTATTCGGTCGTTATTTCAAAATCTTATTTATTTTTTGCTTATCAAGAGATCAAAAAATATTAAATTTATAATCATTATGTGTGTTTCTTACAAATGAACAAATAGCCAGATTTTGATAAAACCAAAAACAACCCTCACGCATCAATTTTTTAGGAAGTTTTGTCTGAGAACAAGAATATTTTTTTGTGTGGCTAACACTTTATTCAATTCAATCAATTCTAACTTAAGTTATAGTCATTTAAAGTTTACATTGGTTTCTATTAATTTCACATGACCATTTCTAAACATCTTTTCACATTGCTATAATAATTCTGCTGAATCTGCTGATGTTTTCATACAAGACATCCTATTATTCATTAAGCTATTTTGTTCTTGTTTGTACTTAACTACTTAATAATATAAGTCTTTCCATTAATACATATCTTTGAGTTTTGAGCACTATTCTTAACTGGCTGTTTTTTGTCGACTTTAGCTGATTGATGTTTATTCTAGCCGATTGGTAAAACAATGAATCAGCCACTATGGTATCATAAATCAATCTACTTTCGGCTAAATTACATGTTAATTAAGAAGTCAATCAAATTGCTTGTGGGCTACATCAGCCATTTGGATCATAATCCGAGTAATTAGCAATCTGATTAAAACACAGATGCTATTTCGTTTCGTTTTTATAGTTCAAAATTTGGTTTTACTTGTCTTCACAACACTAGGATCTAGAAAAGTTGTTATATAACAGGCGTTCTAGTTGAGGAATTAGCCATTAAATCGGTCTCTGACAGTGAGTTCTTGGCATGCTCTGCACAGAACTGTGGGTTAACTCCTAGAAACGTCAACGCTGAATGATTAATCAATGTCTGGCGTCACAGGGTCAAAAGCTGCTCGTATTATCCCTAACGTGACCTCCCAGTACAACTGGTCAGATCTTCATGTAGTGTAGGCCCTCGAAAGTATAAAAAAACGAAACGAAAAACAGATCTGTATTTTAATCAGATTGAGTAATTAAGTAGCACATTTAAAGGTAATTTTGATAATCCAGTAAAAAAACAGCTTGCTGTTTATTCATATACAGGTTCAGTAAAATTAAGCAATCATGAATAACATATTTTTCCAACACAATCCCCAATGCTGAATTCCAATGACATGTGACATCGGTTGGAATTGGGTCAATAAACCAGTTTTAAGTAGTGTTTACCATTATGATTTCTTATTTTATACACATGCTGATAGATGCTTTATTTTTAAAATATTGTCGTTAAGAAGGATAGCATAGTCGTATTGAATTTTATTTTAAAGAATGGTTTTCATGTGATCATTGTGCCGTTTGTCCATCATCGAAGGATGAATAAAAACTTTTTCAAGATATGTGATAGTACTGATAGACAAAAAACTACAGATTGTGTTATGAAGAAATACCATGGTGCTTATTTTGGCTATGGTATTTTCTGATACTGGCAATAGTAGAAAAATGCTAATATTTTAGATGTAACAAGAAAATTGCATTGAATAAACGAAGACAGTAATTTATTCAGGAATATTACTGATGTCATAATACCTTGTATTAAAAGGTCCATGCCAATGTGAACTTTAAGTTGGTACGTGAATTAAATACGGAAAATTTTCAAAAGGTGTATCTATTTGTCGTTATTTTTGTGGTAATCACATTCATTAGAATATGCCATTCTCCATAACAAATTACCAAGAATTATTTTTGTTGACGTCTGGTTATATTAAAGGGAATGGAAGCTTAAAATTTTAAAACCCAGTTCCTACCGGGACCTCATTTGACCCAATTCTGGCTGGATTGTTTCAAAATGGATTAAGAAATAAAACACTATATCAACAATAACTAAAAGATTAATAAATCATCAAATTAATCTTTTTATATGTGCAGTTTATTTATACATAGTCTCCATAATTCAATAATATTAACAAAAAGTCCATTCCAGATAAAGTAATGAAATTAAAGTCACAAATATTTGATGTCACCTGGAAAATTTGACCAATAATCATCATATCCACAAATTTCATAAAATTAAACATTCAGTAGCTCACCTTTATATCTAATTTCTGTTGAAGTTCAATAATTTTATTCTCTAAACCTTTGTTCACCTTCTTCACGTGGTCAACTGATTTAGCCTCAACCTGACAGATAGAAAACACACACAAGTCAGAATACCAGAACTAAAAGTTAACTTTACAAGTCTTTTAATACTAAATCAAACATAGTACATTGCTCCTACTTGCACTGGTCAGTGTTAATCTAAGATAACTTGTCAAAAGTAAATCAGGATCTTTTACCTTCACTGTCTTCATCTAAACCCTAAATTAATTTACCATTGGTATTCTTTAGTTTCTTTGACTACTAGTACTATGTTTAAAGTTTCTTTACTATATAATGACTTCATGAAAAGATGTTTATTTATATAATCTAGCACTAATTCTATATTCCATGGTTATCTTGTCTTACCTTTAATATCTTGAGTTTCGTTCTGGCTTTACGTCGTCTGTAATGACTCTGTAGTAGTATAATACCTCGTATAACATGTTTGTAGCGTTTTTTAGCCAGAAATGTCCGCACATGTCTCTGTATAATGGAGGCTTTGTGGTTTTTGAGGAGGGATGAGTAATTTCTTCTTGCAAACAAACCTCGAATATGGGCCTGAAAATAAAGGAATTGCAATTGATTAATAAATCACCAACAATAAATCTTATTGCTTCCCATTCATCGTGTAAATATTGTACTGAAAATAAAAATGATTTTTCAATGAGAAAAGCTTCCTTGACTGAGATCCTACCTGGACCATTGACAATTTAAACATGGAATCAGATCTTTAAGTTAAAAACAGAACAATCTAAGACTATAGATGCCTAAATACATTATTTTAATAACCATAGATCCAAAATTGTTTCTCATTATCAATTTAAATTAATGTGAAAATAAGATGGAATAATATAACTACCTGTAACAGACAGATAGTGTTCCGTAAAATATCAAATTTACTACGATCCTTGTAACCCCTCCAGTGTTTCTGTATAGTAGTAGCAGCATGTGTCTGTCGTAGGAATGTAGCATGTCTAGATAAATTAAATAAACACACATAATTAACATATTACCATTTCACACATATATTCTAATAGTAATATTAATAAATATTCATAGTAATTGTTATTCAATACCATTAAAAGAATTTAATCTATTTCCTGTCTATTATGAATATTTTCTAATATTAATACAATGAAATCCAGTAATATAAAAAAAGTAAACAACTATATTAAGAAAACATACTGATTTTGAATATCTATAGTTTACCGAAATTTAACAATGCACCAAAACTTGCTCATTTTAATTAATGGGACTACTATGTGATGCACAAGTATGATTATTATTATTAACGATTTCACATACCAAATGTCTATACAGAGATATGCTATTCCTCAAGATCATACTTGAATATTTACATTCCATACATCCACTCAACACAACTAAGCTATTTTGAGACTAACATATGGTAATTATCTATCTGAATTATTCGTTTGTGTATGTGCAGGGCTCATTAGTAGTAAGAGAAAATTCAAGATGACATGTTGAACCAGTTAGTCAACCAAACAACTTATACAGTATAATTTTTTAAAAACATTACTTACCTTCTTGCCAATAATCCACGACCAAAACATTGAACAAGAAGAGCAGATTTTCGTATTTTTTGGTATTTGATACGGGACAACCAACCACGGATATGTTTTTGGATCATTACACCACAAGCTCGCAGCTTCTCGGAACGCAGCTTTTCTAAATAAGCTACTTGACCAGCACGGAAGAAAATTTTAGTTTTGCCAAATCTGTATTTATCAGGATCCTAAAGAATTTGAAAAAAAAAATAACTATCAATCAATAATGTCTTGATATTGTTTTGAAAGAAAATGTCATAATATATACCATTATGTTATTACTTACACAAATAGATCACAAAATAATGTATCATTAAAATACAGAAAATAAACGTACAAAATGGTGTACTATGTAGAATAAGTACACCCTGGCTTATCTAGAATGTCTTTCACCATTTATACCTTGGTCATTTATATAGTAAATTTGTAGTATCTTATTTTTATCTCACATAAAATTACAAATATGCTTACATCAATAAGATCTGGCATAATAGATTCACAAGTTTTTCTCATATTTCCTTTAATAATCTGTTTAGCTTTAGCTAATACTCTATATCTCTGGAAATATTCTGGATAGGTCCATCTGAAAACATACAATTACATTTCTAATCCATTTCTATTATAAATTAGGGGTGTCTGAAATTGGATATACAAATTGGATGTTACAAATCGAAAGAACTGTAATCCAGTGGCATTAAGTAAAGTTGTCAGAGTGACATATGTAATCAAACACAATAAATGTGTTTCAGCTTTAGTGATTAGTGGAGAATATTAGCACATCCCTTTACACTCAATATTCTGGTCACTATCTCTTGAATTCTGAGAATTCAAGATTGGAACTTTCAATTAAGTACTCCGAATAGCATTGTTGCATGAAATAGCATTATTAGATAAACTTGTTTTATATGTGTTTACCTTGATGGATAACCTGCTGCACTGATTCTAATAGTTTCTAAAACACCACAGGCTCTTAGTTGTTCCACAGCTCTCTTAGGATCAAATCTATAATAAACCAAAATTAAAAACTTTAATATTGAAGACTATTTTAACAAGTGTCTTTCTTTTATTTCTAATCAGAAGATATACTATGGTGGCATCCAAATATAGTTCAATTCTCGAAACTGATGGTCAGTAACCTAAAGGATATAAATCTCTCTTACATGTTTTAATGCAGGGGTCGCAACCTGCAGGTCACATACAACCAGTTTTGAGTCTGTTCTTATTTAGTCAATAATATTGATGTGCTCCTTCTGTTAGCCTATTCATTTAACCCCGATATGACAACTTTTTGGGATTGCAAAAAACATCAGGTGTCTCATTCACAATTTATGATTGTTACCTTCAGGTGTCTCATTCACAATTTATGATTGTTACCTTCTGTTTTTAGCTGCGGGAAAGGGAAGGGGGGGGGGGGTCTGTCCTTTTGAGGTTATGACTTCTGGGCCCTCCTGTGTTGATCTTTGTGGCCCTTGGGCTAAAAGCTTGGAGACCCTTGTTTTAATGGAAAAAGGTGTTACGACTGAAGATGAATTCCCAAATTTTTCATTGTAAAATATCAAACATTTAAGGATCAACAATTTTGGGAATATATTTGAGAATAACTCACGAAAAAGCACATTTCTCATCATTGGGTTTGATACATCGGATATAGTGTGGTGTTGTAGCATTAAGTGTCCCCATCAATAATGATAAAGACTCTCTGAATTGTGTGCCAACTGTTTGCTTATGCTGTTTACTACCAGCTTTAGGCTGCTGCTTTATAGGTGCAACATTAACACCTCTTCCTTTCTTATTATCAACTGCTTCTGAAAACAGCTCTCCAACTAATTCAATCTAAAAACATAAAATTATTTCTCTTGACTAACAATTAACTAATTATAAAATATAGAACAATGCATTTTCTAACTAAAGCATGACTTAGATGTCAGCATTTATGTTCAGTGAATGAATCAAAAATCTATAATAACATACACGGTTATACGTATATTTGTCGGTTAACAGAAACATAATACAACAAAACCAAATGAATAAAATATACTCCTTAAAGTGAAAGTAGTGTTATTGGTGGGAATTAATTCTATACACTTCATTAAAAAATATAAATAAATATATATATTTCATGGTGCATCCTTGAGAATTGTCCTTAAAACTTAATTTAGTATTGGATTTTGATTTGTAAATGTCACATTGATATAGGAAGTCAATTAACAGAGCAAGAAAACCTGAACTGGTTAGAAAAATGTGCTTAGAAATATAGTACAACAACAACAAAACTACTTACCTCACTAGCTTTGAGTATGTTAATTTGTTCTGCTAAAACAGTGTCTCGATTTTTCTCTAGAAAGCCATCAGCTGTGTAAGTGACCTGATCAGCAAAATGAATGATGACAAATGCTGTTCTAGACATTCTAGGTTTGTTAAAATGTCTCGATTTTCCCAGATGTTTGTCATATAATTTTTGGCACCAGTTGGAATCAGAACCTTTAGGCATCTGAAATAAGAACAGTAAAAAGAATTTAAACACAATTAAGAAATTTCTATCTTAAAATCAAATAAAAACTATTCAAAAACAAACAAATATAGTAGTTCATAAGTTGTAGGCCTATATTTATGTAAGCAATCCATTATAGCCCAGTAAAGAATACATATGATAATGAGTCAAGTTTTCAGCAAGTTTTTTTACCATATGATATTCCTATATGAAAACTCAAACTTACTCTACATTCTTCATCTAATAAATCTAATATTCCCAGTTTACTTTCTATCAGATCTATACATGGTTGATTATCATAGAAATCTATAAAACTCCATTCTATCGCTTCTTTAACATATTCTTCTTGTTCTAGTTTAAATACATGCTGTAATAATAAATAACATGTACTACATAATATACTGGGCCTTGGTGGGTGTCGTGGTCTAAGGGGAGACAACTCAAATTTGAGTATTCTATAATTTCACTTATGTAAAGTCATAGGAAATAAAAAAAGCATCTGTTTTAGTAAATATCACAGTTTTATATCTTTTCTGTAAAGTACAATTGTGATATCTGTGCTGTATTGTTTGTTCATTCATTGTTATTTGTGCAGTATTCCTACCTACACTGTCAGTTCATATTTAAGACTTAAGACATTTAAGAGTTTCATTTTTCATTGATTAACTATATGTCAGTAAATTCTGAAACACTGAAAGAAGCACTTACCATGTTAAATATCTGTTGCAGTTTTTCATTAGCATAATTAATACAAAACTGTTCAAAACTATTTATTTCAAATGTCTCAAATCTGAAAACATAGTTTTTGGGGGGACATTAATATTATATATGCATTAATGATATATTTATGTTTGTAAATAAGGAAATGGGGTTTAACATCATCTACTGATCACAACCAGGTTATAATGGGAATAACATATTAGGCTAACATATCATTTTAAGTTTAAGGGAAGTTTTACAACAAACACAAAACATTATCTACAGAAATTGCATTTCAAGCCACAATTGTTTTCTTTTTTATATTCAAACAAATTAAGACATTACTCCTTTTAATAAAGTAAATTAAGGCAGTATACCATGTATGGCATGTCTACTGTACTTATGTTCACGAAGACTTTTGCAATACAGTTATTCTTTATTTCAATAATTAATGTGGCAACATGGATCTTATATCAGTGTGAGCAAACCAAAGAAAGTTTAGCCAGGTAGTCCTACTACATGTCATGTCATAAACAATCACTGTATCAAACCTATGAATTCTTCAGTATCAGGTTTATAGTCAAAAGCACAACAATAACCAACCCTAAGCCTACAATAAATATACAACTGAAGTAAAGAGATATCAAGACGCTTGCTGTTTGTTTTGGCTTTCTCAGCACTGAAAGTGATTTATGTCTCTTGATTAAGACCATCAAACAAATATACAACAGCTTTTAGTTTGTTTCTGTCTTAAATACGTGGATTGTTAAGTTACATACATACCCATATATATCTAAAACTCCGATAAATCTATGTTGTTTAGATGCACTATGTAAAGCTCTGTTGACTTGTGTTACAATCCAGTTAAATAAATTTGAATAAATATGTTTAGCTAGGGCATCTCTTGCATCTCGCGCCTGTTGGAGAAAAAGCAGAAGACGAGGACGAGTTATTTATAACATTTGTTAAATATGTTTTTTAACACTAGACATTAACATGTATTAGTTAATTCATATTCTCCATCCGGACACCCATCATTGATTTCACAGAAAAATTCAGACAGACAAGGAATGTGTCACATAAATTTGGGTTTGAAAATCAATGAGCATGAGGTTTGGATGCCAATTGTGGACAATTTTAACATCGATCAAAGGATTGCACTTTAAAGGAGCTAATCTCTATTCTTTGGCACCTAGAAATCGACACAAATGGGTTGCAACGCATATAATAATGTAATAAGAATTTCAGGTTTTACTCTAATTTCTAATCAGTTATGTTTGGCTATAGAAGAGTCCAAATTGAATGGTAGTCTTCTGCGGCTGTTTATTCCAGTCTACCCCCTGTAGTATTCTCCTGTGGGATATGTTTAGCCTAGTTCATAGAGTCGCTTCATTACAAATGGCACTCAAAAGCATTCTGGCACACAATTTAAAATTTTCATTTTGTCTTAAATTCTGGATTTTAGAAGACCATCTTTTCACGGTAAGATAACAACATCAATGTTGATTTAAATTGACCAATAAGTTGTGTTTGAAATGTTGAAGACTGTGGATGATACTGAGTTACAGACTTGTCCCCTTGAAAACAAGTCAAGATTTAAGATTAAAAGACAGTAATATCAACATGTCTTACTTGGGTGGATTATGGGTTTCTGTTATTCGAAATCTTCTGGAGTTTTGATACATGTATTTGATTTAAGCATGCTATTAAGAAAAGAGTAACCTGTCTGCACACAAAATACAAGTTTAAATATTGACAGCATCATCGATAAGCTTGGTTGGTCTGACCCAAACGGGCTCCAGTCAAAAGATTATAGTTAATAGACCTAGTTAACTATAGCCCATAGTAAAATGTTGTAACTATGCAAATTATTCTTATAGTTTGTATTGCCGAGAATATTTCCTGATCAATTCAATCTGTAGTGGAACAAATCCCAAATGACACTATCAATAAGGCAGATCTTGGCTGTAAAACCCATCTACATTGGATATTGACTGTAAAATGTTTAAAGCCAGAAATTTAAATGAAAATAAATATGGTTCATTATGATAAAGTATTATACATAATTCATCATTTATGTGTAACAAATATACCTGACTCTCTGTAAGTGGTTTATTGAGTGTTTCATTAACTGTTTGAATCTTTCTATTACATAACCACATCTTCATCTGGGATTCTTCTATAGCCAGTAATTTACACATATACTTTAACGGTATATCATTATCCTGAAATCATGTAACATTATCCAGTATTATTATAAAGTGAAAATAGTTTAATTTAAGCCAAAACAAAATACAATATGGAACTCAAAGCAATACTAAAATGCAAATTAAGAACAATCTTGTTATCTGTGATTTATATTTAATACATTAACTTACAGGTATCTCACATGTTTCTCCTTCACATTCCTGTATAGAAACATTACCAAAATGTAGAACAGCTGCCAAAATTTGAAATATAACCATTTGTTGTTGTTCACTTAAACCTAAAACCAGAAAAGTATGTATATTAAAGGTATATTTCTTGATAGTCATTTTCCAGGCCATTAGACATCACACTTTCAGATGACCTAATATTGCTTGAGACCTGAGGAAAAATATTAAAAACTAAATATAACAATTTCATCATATCTGAACCTATTTCTTAGTTATTTATAATCAAAGTCCAACTTTTTTGTAATTTCGGTTAAAGAAAAATTACTAATTTTTTAAGCTTTACAGATTTTTTCAAAACTAAGATTTTTACCTAGTGTGGTCATTGCTTCCCTAGTACTGATTAAATCCTCTGCATCGTTGACATCATTTATTTCTGGAGCACCACCCTGAGCAGTGTAGAAAAAGTCATCTGCATTTTCTGTTGAAGGTATAAAAATTATAAATCAGAATTAAAAGTATAAAAACAAACATTTTGCATGCCTGGAATATGCTGGTAGTATGACCCCACAGTAGTAGGATATAATTATACAGTTTTATTATCAATATTACTATTTTTGTAAAAGTTCAAGTCAATGCTTGATAAACAAACATTTCATTAAACCTTTTGACAATCCGTCCTTAATTACAACGTTCATAATATATTTTCATTGTCCAAATGATTCTCCAATTTTCTGCATATCATATCCTTACTCTTGTATCAGGATATGTACTGAAACAAAAGAAATATTTTTAACTAATTTCCAAACACAAATATTTAACTTACTCAGTCCCATTTTCTTAAACTCAGGTAATTTTGCTGAAGCACACATCTGATAAAAAATGTGATAATTTCTTTCATCTTGGGCTTGAAATACAACCCTGGAAAAATGTCAAAATAGGTGATCATTGTATAATACTGATGCATGTTGATGGAGAAAATGTGTCCCAATTTATCTTTTCAATAGTGTAATTACTGGCATACTACTAGACTTTTCAAAATACATTTTCAAATATAGGAAATACCGGTATCTAACTGGGCATAAAATACAATAAACCAAGAAAACTTTGAAAAATTAATGCAACTGACCCAGTGGAAACCTAACTAAGACACGAAATTAATGACTTCAAACAGAATTTTAATCAAGTTCATTAATGTATGAGTTGAGCTGTATAAACAAAGAACCTATCAATAAGAATAAAATACGACAGATGGTCACAACTCAGATTTTTTGTTTTGGGGTTCTTGCTTTATGCCATAAAATTTACATATATATACTCTGATATGTGTACCTTGATTTTTCTAATAAATATGTCCTCATATGAGCACCAATAATGGAATTTGCACGATTGAAGCCCAGTTCAATATATTTTCCAAATCTACTGCTGTTGTCATTTCTGGTGGTCTTTGCATTACCAATAGCCTAAACAAAATAAATATTGGAATTATATGTGAGAAATGCATTAGATATATGTTAATCAAGTAATAATGTGTTTTCTAGCAGATGTTCCCATTATGTTTTTTCAAATATTGTAGAAGGTGCATATCTAATAACAGCATATTCCCCAAAAGATGCAATTTTGAATTTATATTATGTCATTCATGTGGTTTTGATTTTGAGACTGTTGCATGTACAATATGGCAGTGAGTGTTAGCTGATAGCTCATGCAAAAAATCAGAAATAAATTATTTTTCATAAGATTAAGGCACTAAAACAGAATGTCAAGTGAAGAATGAAAATGTCAATTTTGTTGTGGAGTAAAATAAGATTATTGTTATTGATGTTGTAGATGTGCCAAGTAGAAAATCAATTTCCTAGTGTAAAAATAAAATGTCATAGACACCAAGCAAACATGAATCAGAGAGTTCTTATCATCTAGCAGAGATCATTAGTAGGTAATTGTTAACAATAGCACGTCCAAACAAATGACAATTTGACAAGCACTCCTCTATCCATCTGAACACCTATCATTATGTAGATGATATCAATAACTTTATCAACACTATTCTTACCCACACCTTTTCCAACACATACATTAAAAGTTTGTGAATATTTATGGTTTAAAAACTTAGTTTTTGTCATCTTAAACTATCCACGTTATTTTTACACCTTTCCCAACACACATATTTATGTCAATATTCATAATTTAATAACTTAGTTTTTGTCATCTTAAACTATCGACACTACCCTTACCTGCACCTTTTTTAACACACAAATTAATATTTATGATTTAATTACATCACATACAGTGTTCACACGGCATATGCAAGGCACTTTAAGTTTATGTACATTCAATTTTAAACATATTTTGAAACAAATGTTAATGCAATTTCAGGTAAATATTGTCACTTCAGCATGTTCCTAAGCATAATATGTTTTAAACTATCTACTGTTCAATATTGATCACACAAAGTGGTAAATAAACATTCTTCTATGATGTTCTGCTTTATCTTAAAAGAGATTATGCACACATGGCATATATTGAATGAAGGATGACTTTAAAGTCTTTCTTCAAATATTTGAGTAGAGGTTATCTGAAAAGCAAATAGTGGACACATCAAAATATCATCGAAATACTACAAACCTCCATGATAGGATTTGATGCCAATACTTTTCTTTCAACCAGTGTTTCTGTTTGGGACCCACCCACTGTAGCGAAAAATCGCATAGCGTATTTAGCAGACACAGTTTTACCAGCACCACTTTCACCGGATACAATAATAGACTGGTTCTTTTCAAAACTGAAGTTAAAGACAGAATTCTTATATAATTTCAAAGAGTATGAAATTTATTACTATGATAAAAATCTATGCCTGATGATAATGAAATTACTTTAATATGTATAGCAAAGTAAATTCTTAACCTCTTATATTTATAGTATGTAAGTTGCCACAAAAAGACATCCAGGAATTATTGTTCACTGAAATTTTGTTTGGTATCAATATCATATTTCATGTCTCGCTCTCAACCCTTAAACCACATCTAAATAATTTAGGAGTCTACAATTGCAAAATGATATGCTTGAGCAATGACTAAACAGAGCTTTACTGTTAATAAATTAAAAAAAACATTTGAAGGAGAAGTCCTAAAATAAACTCGAGTAAATAAAACTGGTTAATTCAGTAACTACCAACTTAGTAAAATACCATCATACTGAATTGTTTGTTCTATAGCATGTAATAAAATTCTATAGGTTATTGTTGTGCATTTATCAGGTTACTCAATGAAAAAATGGAGGCAAACGCTTTAATGAGTTACGCAACCCTCATAAACAGATTTGGTGATCATTTCCAAATGGCTCAAATGTTGAAATAGGCTGTACCTTAAAAAAAATTGAGATTGAATTGGATACTTAAACATGGGTTGGTGTTTTTTTGGATGCCAAGTGAAAAGACTGATTAACCTCAACTTGTATTTGGGAATACCATTTTGAGTTATGATAAGACAACTAAGTTTCACAGATTATTTGCAAATCAATACTTTGGTTAGTTTTAAAAATGTAACACACCGTGACATTTGCTTATATGCTTCTTCAGCCACTGCAAAAATATGAGGGTCCATAGCCCCCATATCTTGACCACTATAAGCTTGAATGATGTCATTGCTGTAAATATCCAGTTGTTCATACGGGTTAATGGCCACTAACACAATACCTGGAATAGCAACAATATAATGCAAAGACATAAAAGAACCAATTATGTATGATTTAAAATTATTATGCATCATGGATCAAAAATAATGAATTTGTATATAGATTAGATATGTACATGTAGATGAATTGCAGTCAAAGATCATAAAATATATACCACAAAAAACTTACCACAATATGTGTAGATCAAATTTGAATCCAAAAACCTCAGTTTTAAATTATACAGAACTGAAAGAAATTGCATAGATTGAACTCATTTTATCATTATTCTACAAATAAAATCATTGTAACTCCTTTTAAAACTTGTTGGTTCATATTCCTTATATAATTTGTGAGGCTCTTACACTTACAGCCATAAATGAATATAATTGCAGCTAAATTACGAAGCGTTATTAATAAAAAGCTAACTAACTTAATCCTAAAAATGATAATCCTTAAAAATCATACTTTCGTGAGAGTACAAAAGTTATATAATATTCATTGTTAGCAAAGATTTGGATCTTCCAAATACATCAAAATACATCGAAATGGCATCTGATGTTCTCGACAGAATAAGCATACCCTGTTTCATGCATAACAACATATGTCACAAAGACTGAAAATGCTTCAATCTGTCCGAACCATGGGCAGTAGGGTATGAAGACTATTGAATTACAGAATACAACTTACCTTCTGGTTCATTGAGGTAACTTAGAGATGTCAGATCATTTTCTCCTATCAAAATATCAGGATTTCGTAGATGTGGTAAATTTTCCTTATCGATTTTCAGTTTAGAATCCTGTTAAAGTATAATAAATCATTCATTTAAGTTTAACCAGTGATGGTATAAAAAGAGCAACAATCTGAATCTACAAAATATAGGTTTGCAATTATAGACGATCAGAAAATAGCTACACATATCATACATGTGTACATGTACACTATATATATCTATAATAAAAAAAAAAATAAAAAAAACAACATTCATTTCCCTTTTTTATGATTTATGATTTATTTCATCCTTATAATTAAATAATCAACTTATGACAATAATTTGAGAAATAGACTTTAAAACTCAAAACTATTATATTTAAACATGCTAGATTCTGTCAGTTCAAGACTTGCATGGACTCATATTTGAGCCTGTTAGAATATCTTACTGATTAAATGAGTATGGTAGGCATTATAATAAACCAGATTTGTACATGTTTGGTAGATTTATTGAAATTTCTTACTCCTATGTGAATAGAAAATAGGAAATTTTCCCCACAGACAGATTATCTATAATAATATATAAGCTGATAGCTACAAATCAAGTATATTATCATTATGATTCATTATGTCAACACGGTATCTAACCTTGTTTAAGTGAGAGGAAAACAATGAATTAATAATAATAATATAACTTTATTGATAACAATCACTAGCAACTATAATAGTGAATCTTATCCTCATGTTTAACATGTCTATATATATGATTTGTCACATTTAAGATATGAACCGGTCCAATAAATTTTATACATGTAACTCATTAGTCAATCTGGATAAAGAATGATTTATTTTCTCATCACATTATTTTGTAAGGTACATGTACCAGTATTTGCATCCTCGTGGGATTTTTCTACCATAGGCTTTGATCAATTATAATAAACTACTTATTGTAGCTCCAAACAAAAACATTTTGCACCCATGGTATCTAAAACTTTTACTGGCAAAATTTGTAAAAGAAACCACCCAAAAGAGGGCAATGAAGTCAAAGGAATCAAATAAAGGTAAAGGTCTTAAGACAATAAAAGACCATGACAGTATCCCAGTGAGTCGGTTTACCACATAATAGCCTTGGAGTTCGACAAATTCCTGTGAGGCCATTTGATAAATAGAAATATTTTGTCACATTATCTTTAATGAAAATGTTGTATTCAGTAAGGTGCCATATGAACCAATTGTGACAATAAAAAATAAACTTATATGTAGGATCATCCCCCTTTCAAACCCTACACACTGAAAGTTTAAAAAAACCTTCAAATGAAAAATACTTAATCAACGAATATATCGTAATTAAATCTGAACTTTAAATTACATGCAGTAGTTTTATTGTTAATATGAACAATTAAAAGGTTTAACCACATTTAAGAATATAACTCATGCAAATTTCTGGAAAAGAAAACTAAATCAAATTGTTGTATTTTAACAAACGATCATCATTTAACAGTGAACATACATACTGTTCTAGAACTACCATTTAAAAATGGAAGCAGACGTCTATATTTGGGGCTACACTGGTTCAAGACAAAAAATAACAATATTATGAACAATACAATAACAATAAGCATGCTCAATCAAAACGGATCAATGGACATGATGAATGATCTTAATGTCTTTTCAGCAAAAAATGGCTCTTTTATATTTAAAAAGACAATTCATTTCAGTGTATACTTCATCTTCAATAGAAGGCTTGATCTCACTTTAAGTTTTAACCCTGCACATTTTATCAAGCCCTTCACGTAATATCCTGCATATTTTGTAACTAATTTCGATTGGCTATTGACCCAACTGGGGAGCCTTTCCTTTCAGATTCCTCGATCATCACGAATACCAAGTCTCGCTTTTTCCAGCTTAAATGTCTACCTGTGATAATCAAGTCGCAAAGTTCAAGGTTTCTGTGGAGGTCGGCATATTTGATTTGGGTGTGTTTGTGTCACAACCTCTGATTGGACGCTGTCGTTCACGTGTCTGCATTAAAGCTATAAGTTCGGGAATAGCAGACCAGTGTAGCAACGTCTAGATATTGCTTTCCATCTTTGTCCCCATGGCTTTTTAAAATGGGTTTGTCCATCAGTCACATTTTTGATTTATCAAAACAATTCTAGCAAGTTTGAGGAATAAAAACTTGGACCTGTAAGTGTAAGAGCATTTGCAAGGTGACAGTGACAGTAACTGAAGTGTCATGTTTCAATATTAAATATGAGCATATAAAAATCCTTGGATCGGCAATAACTTCACCTCAAACAAGTGCAACTTCAAATTTCAACTCTCAGATTTTTTTCAACAATGTTCACAGTGCTAATAATATATATCACTGATGTACTAAGAAATCCTAAATACTAAATGTTTTTGGTTTCAAAGTGTACATTGACTTGCAGGTATTTTGTCAGCCTGTCAGTAGTGGGAAATGTCTGAGTGTCACCTTTTATATTTCAGTACTAGTAGATGAACTATTGACTAGGTAGTCCTTGCTCTACATCTGCACTGATTTGTGAATGTTTCACCCTGAAGCTACTTCAACTCAAACTTAAAGATACGTGTTCCCCATTATAAAATAAATTACTTCATCTACATGTTGCAATCTAATCCAGAAAAAATAAAATATAGATGGAAATTTTAAAGTAATCAATCAGCTCATGACATGATAGATAAAACAACAAAGGAATATTATCCTTTATGGTTCTACAGCTTATGGGGTGTCGCTCAAATAACATATCATCACAAAAGAATTTCAACAAAATACTTTGAAAATTTAAGCACACAATTTCTTTTTCTAGAAATTTGGAAGAAGTTCAATTCCCTTATAACTGGCACTGCTAAGTCATAGCCATCAAATGGAGATATATATAAGAAATGATCAATAGGAAATTTGATTAGTATTGTTACTAATAATAGCAATATTGTAAAAATGACAAATATTAGTACTAATGATATGAATGAAAACTAAATGATGAACAGTACAATAATCATATTATAATCTGTTCTATACATGATGCGTTGGAAATATCTATTTCTCAGCACTAAAATAATGGTATTGCATTCATGGTATCTATATTTCATCAATCTACAATAAAATACCATGCGTACATCCTTATAGTTACTTACTCTCCAAGTTTCCTGAAAACAATGCAGCATTTTATAAGAATTAGCTTGGACAAACAATATCCTTAATTACATGTAGGATAAGTCTGAAAATTTGACACTCTTAGCTATATAAACTTATTGAAAGCTAAACCGATACTGATTGTTTGGTTTGTCTTTAAGTTCAATATTTTACAAGTTAGAAAGCAAATTGTGCATTGTTGTCAAGCATTTACATCTACTTCTTTTGAATATAGGAGATATTTATTCTTTAACTGACGAGCTGACCTCGATTGAAAAATGCGTCATAATTTGTCCCTACAAACAAAAATGCCAACACTTCATTTTGAATATTCTTCAGTCTATTCCAAAATTTTCACCAAAGATCTCATCTTAATTCAACTACTGACACATTTATTTTTATTCTTGTGCTTAACTTATAAGATGGGTTCCCAGAAAAGTATTTATCGGGTGGTTATTTCCAATAAAAGTATGGCAATTTTGGTATATATGGAAAGTAGAGATATCCAATCTTACTAGAAAAATACTGGATTCCCCGAAAAACACTCATGGAGCGTATACAGGACAAAAATGTAAGGGTTCCACTAATCAACAGCCCGACGATTAAGAACTTCTGCACGTTTGATGTCAAAGGTCACAAGCGAACATTGAGCGCTTGATGTACAAGTTGATAAACTTTATGAAGAGTTCGACGTACAATACTTTCTGGGATAAAAATGACGGAAAAAGACGCGGTTAGTGGATAATCCGAGAATTTAATTAGGATTCGATATTTGTAATAAATAGTAAGCGATTAGGGACAACATCGTCTTATGTATGCAATGAATTCTCCTCTGACTCCCAAGACGCGACGTAAACATGACCTGGTTTGATCGAATTTTAATAGCAGGGCATTCCTTCGCAATTACAATGTTTGAGAAGGATTTGAAGCATAATTATGACAAATTAATTAGTTTGAATATGTTTTTGGTCCATATATACAATTAAATCACCCAGTTTGTACGCGGGAACCCATCTTTAAGTCTTTAATGAAAATATTTATGACATTTAAATTGTTTTTACCTCTCCATCTTCATACTGTATTGCTACAGCATCCTGTCCAGAATAATTCTCCTTTAATTCAGCAGCTCTCCATACAATATCATTGTCAGGAATCCATATCCGTGCCCCCTGAAAATATATAAATGAGTTGTTTAGAATATCCAAAACATAAAAGGTTGTTAAAATCTGATGAATAATAGAACTTGTAAGCTGTGCTACTGGTGTAGTAATACTGTACAGAATTTACACCGTGACCAAATCAGCTGCGTCAACTCTGGCAACTAACATCATAGGTCTGCAGTACTGACAATCTGATTAAAATACAGATCTATATTTCGTTTCTTTTTTTTATACTTTCAATGGCCTTCACTACATGAAGATCTGACCAGTTGTACTGGGAGGTTGCTTTTGGGGTCAGGCGAGCGGCTTTTCACCCTAAGACGTCAGACATTGATTAATCAATCAGTGTTGACATTTCTAGGGGTTTACCCACAGTTCTGTGCAGAGCGTGCCAAGAACTCGATGTAACAGACCGTTTTATTGGCTAATTCGTCACATCAACAAGAACACATGTTATATAACAACTCTTCCAGATCCTAGTGTAGTGAACACAAGTAAAACGAAATTTTGAACTATAAAAAACAAAATGAAATAGGATCTGTGTATTAATCAGATTGCTGTACTGAGTACTCTTTAAGACATGATGTAGACATTTCTATACATCATTTTCTTTATATATCAATTGTACCTTTGAGGCGCTTGGATGTCCTGAAATGTTACGTCACACCAGCTTTTCAGCAACATGTAGTTTTCAATGGTGCAATCTATAAAGGGTATTTATTTTTTTTACTGGCTATTTTAAAGGGACAGAACCTCTTTGAAGTTTCCATTATTTTGTGTAACAACTGAATCTGTTTCCTCTTCCAACAAATCTTGTAAAATGAGATTCTCATGATAAATAAAATTTCCAGATCCACTTGTGGTTTGATTTTTTGGGAGGTCACTGAACTTACTATTTACATGTATAAGACACAATCTGGTTTATAACATGACTGCATTGCAGGCCAGCTTCAATACTGAAGCATTTCTACTGCCAACTCCCCAAAAGGTCTTGCAATACTGTTGTGCTTTAATCTGTGGGCACTAACAGGTTTGTGAAGCTCTATGGCCTTCATGTGAAGTAATGCAATAGTTTTAGTTAAACTGTATATACAAGTAACAATCTTTTTATATTATTCCATTAGTGTAATTAATTTAGAAATCAGGAATGATCAGTGTTATTCTATTTATAATATGACTGGGAAACAAAGTTGTTCGTTAGGAACATCCGTCATTGATTTCCAATACTGGATTATCCATGCCATGCTCCTCATCTTCATCATATAACCACTAAGTGGCATCTGGACTGATATTACTACTCTATTTACTTTGTTTGATGTCAAGTATACTAGAGCAATGACTGGAATGTACAAAGAACATCAAACAATTAGAGAACAGATCAAATTCTGTCTGAAAACTAAATAAATTCTTTTTATCCAGTGAAAATAATGTGGAGCTTTTTCACCTTTAAAGCATCTTCAAGTCTAAAGTATGGAAATTATTCTGAATGTTGAAAATGATGATATTCTGATAAAAATAAATGAACTGACAACAAAGCTCAAGTACGGTACATATCCCGGTATATATAAACCTAAAATTAGATATTTTCATTATATATGTTAAAACCACTGAATACTGTGTCTCAAGATTTTGACAGTTTAATGTAAATCATTTCAACATGCTACAATACCGGTTAATACATGCTTGACTATTTGAAGTACAGAAGTAGTTGGCATCCTGTATAAGATAATAGCTGTATAATAATATCCTGTATTATAGCTACAGCAAGTATATAATATAACAATGAACAATGGCTACACAATTAATACAAACTCCTAGAAACATAATAAAATTAGAGCCAAAATATCACCTTCACATAACGATCTACTGTCTCAATATTCCTTAAAACATATTGAAGCTGAAATCTGTTGTAAGGACTGTCCTTATCCAGGGAAGGTTTACTTTTCTCTATCACCCTTTCAGACAAGGACTGATGCTGGGGAGAGGCACCACCCCAAAACTTCCAAATCTTATCCATATTGAAAATATTCTCAAACAATATCAACAACGGCCATATTCCTCCAATTATTCTTAATGTTAGACGTGATATTTAACAGAATAAATTTCTGGGTTTGTTTTATGACTAAATTGCACCAATTTGGTGTTATTATTATCTCATTAATTTAGAATATATATAGACCATTTCTCTAGTTAATTGCTCCTTACACTGCATAGACAAACGGTAGAAATTATATGAATTTACATAACTTCAGCTCAACATGCCAGCTTCACCGTGAATCTATTTAATAAAACACAATCGCTTAGGTTCGTAACAGTTATATATGGCAGGGCAGACAAGTGATATTCAGACTTCATTTCTAATTCACTATCTAATTCTGAGGTAAGTTTACAACTTCATGCTTTTAAGAATTAGATATAATATTAATTGATATAACATTAATAAGGTATGTTAGTTTACAAAATTTTAAATCGCATGCATGAATGATAATTTAATAGATTATGTAATTTCTGTTGTATAATTAGAATATAGTTGAAAAAGGGTTTTGAATTTAGTACTTCCAAATTTAATACATAAAATTCTATGGATTTATAATAAAAGATAACAAATTTCGATATCCTGCCAGGACCATTTCATATGGTAAAATAGAATCAGCTTACTGAGTTATACTGAATTTGTGAATTCAACGTTTAACCTTTCTACTCTATGCACTTTACTCTCTATTCAACACTATTCATACAACTCTTAAATCAACCAAGTTACACCAGTGTAGAAACATTTGTAAAAAGATTGTATATATTTATCTTTCTCCTTTAATTGTTGTGAGCAATGTGTACATACGCAAACTGGGCGTCAAGCACAGAAAAGGCTTGCCTAAAAAACTTGTTTTCAATATATATGCTGATGGCCGACAGCAAGTTTCCACGCCAAATCAAGACCTGAGATATAAATAAGGGCGAAGTTGAAAACTGATCAGATTCTCTTAATAATTCAAAACCTAATTCTCTCAAAGTTTGGTTCTGCATGATGAGGTGAATGTTTCTGCATGTCTAAGAGTAAGACTTAATTTAGCCATGAATATTAAAACACAACTACTTGTTTTTTTTTTAAAAAATATTTCATTCGGGTATTTCATCCACAAAGCCTAGCATACACTTATACTTACATGTATGCACGAGTCAAAAGCCTATGACAGTCTATGTATAAACAGGTGTGACAAGAAATGGGAAAGAATCACACCTTAGTTTTTACCTCAGTACTGACAAAACGTAAATTACTTTACATCAAAGACCAATAGGTTTGACTGACATGAGAACAATTTAAGGTGATAATAGAAAAACGTGAGATATAGTAAACTACATGGACCCTATTGATTTTTTACTTCATACAGACTTGTCCATATAGATTGACTCTAGGTAGACTACTGTACTTAGTCCCAATTTGTTCATTACACTCTATGGAAAATTGTAATCATAAACTGAGAATTGATCTGGAGGAACCAGAAAAAAAAAACAAGGTTAGGCAATAGCCACATATATTGTGACAATCAAAACCATAACATTTGTATCAAGGCCAACCACACCCCCTTAGCAAGTATCATTATTTCTCAACATTTGAAACAATATTTGATTATCAGTAGTGTAATGTATTAAAGGTACAAATGATACCTTATGAATACACAATATCCAAAACAAGCATGCTAGTTACCCATATTGCACATGGACTGAGAATGTTGTGGAAAATAATTTGATTGACGAAAAATTATTAAGTGTAATTAACTTAGTAACTTACAGGTTACAACTAATTATAATCTGAATGAGTAATAACTAGTGGGAGCATTAATGACAAACAAATCATTAAGTACATGTACTTCCTTATCTTACAGGTAAATTTAGCTGATTAACCCTTTCCATTATAATTAATAATTCATTAATTGATCATAAAAGAGTAGTACTGGTAATACTTAGGTATTTGTTGTAATAAAATACTTCAAGTGTCTTTCAAACCAATATACAAATACTCATTTTTAATATTATATTTCCTTGTGTTACAATGGCCAATTTTTAAAATTCATAATACAAAACTGAATTTATCAATATGTGTTGTATGGTCAATGTTTTAATTAATATATTTACTATGTTATCTTTTTCACTCTTATCACTATTATTTAAATATTATTGTATCTTATGTTATACCAGTACTAATATACATGTATCACTAATCAGTATCATATTATATAGTGTAAGGTACACTAGTCAGATATTGTGTGTTAAACTGTTATTTAAAGAGTTTATATGAACTTTATTGACACAATGTCAGTGACTTATAAGTTATTCAAAGAGTTTATATGAACTTTATTGACACAATGTCAGTGACTTATAAGTTTATATATAATTAAATTGTATAATAACATAGTACTGTACTCATTTAATCCTATTACACTTGGCCTAAATGGGGCTATTTACAACAAATTATATGGTTTACTCTTTTACCTAGAATTTTCTAAAAGAAATGGGACCAATTGTCTATCAAGATATCAACTTAAATTCACAGCCAATTCATTTATAGTATTGGTAAATTGAAACACAAATTCATAAACATGTCTAAGTGACCTGCTTCTTTCAGTATTTAAATAAAATGATTAATCATGCTAGAATCAAACTTAAATTTATTAATAAAATTGAAAATTAAGCCTGTATTTGACTGTAGTTTTACATTTCTAAAATTGAATGTGTAATATAACGACACAAATTAAGCAAATAATATGAATGACTAATACTAAGTATATTATATGTTGTATTGGGTAAGGATGATGAACAGTAAGACATATTGTATCAATTCTATGACAATCTAAAAACAAATGATTGCCACTACCTGTACTACTACTAGGGATATACATGCGCTTCCTCCTAGGGGGATATCTCAAGACAAAATTAAATGATTACGAGACAAATATAAGTGGATTATGAAATTAGCACACATGTATGTAAATGTGTTTCAAGCTTATACTATACACATACCTGGTACACATAATTTTAAAAGCAAAAAATAGCACGACCAAATTATTAGAACTGTCTTAAAATTGCCAGATCGTATCTGATATAAAATGAAGCAGCATGATCATGTATTGAAACGAATCACACAGTATGTTTTGTTTGATATTTATTCTGTTACCTTGAGTATCTTTACACATCAAATAGGCTGATCAACAGCTAGAAGTAGAGAATACCTGACACATCTTCATCTATCATACATGATGGTAAACTTACAAGATGGCAAAATATCTGTATTAGAAATGTCAAATATTCAAAGAACACCCATAGTTATATTGAAAGTTTTTAAAACCTCAACCTGATTGTTTTGTGATTTCATAATTATTCAAAGAAATTTTTATCCAAATATCTAATTGCAGAACTCAATAAGTAATGTATGCCACCGATGTGCCATACTTATATAATCTTAAGTTCAATTTTACTAGCTGCCTTTGATTTTTCTTGCTAAATTCGATGATACAATATAGTGACTAAACTTTATTCAATAACTAATGTTACCAGTACTCGAAACATCTGAATATGCATGAATTTAGTATGTACGCATGGTTTGATATTTAAATATTTAAAGAAGAGTAACTGAAACACAAATTATCAACACTATTTTTGTTAACACACTTATTTATATAGGGATCCATTTATATATATATTATAATATTGTCATGAATGAAAGTGGTCCTTCCTAGATAATAATAGTCTGTATATCAATCTTGGCCTATCTAAGTCATTAATTGTAAATAAAAAAACAGAGAAAAAAACATTTGCCAAAACTCAGCAAACCAATCATAGCCAATTCAATTTAGTGTCACACTCAGACTCACTCACTCAACTGGGCTCTCACTCAGTTATTAAATTAAAATAACACAATAAACTAACATACATGATAACTATAATCATATCAGTGAAGGGATTTAATTTATCTATTTCCAATAATAACTAAAGAGAATCATACTGGTTAATCATATTTAATTATTGAAGTGAGTCAGGAACAAACTCAAGCAAGCTTAAGCCAGTAGTGGCAGTGTCCGTAAAGTAAAACAAAACAAACCCACTTCGTGAAAGCTTACCTTTGTGTATAACTCCTTGGTAGACATGGCGACACCTTTTACACAATTTTGGGAACAAATATATTAGCTCGTTTGGGTATTTCTGTTCGGTTATTGCTTCAAAAATTCATAGTGACATTAATATTCCTTAGTATCCTCTGTCACTCACTTTCTTAAACTCAACGCGGCCATTTTTCGACAAGTGTACTATTTCCGCCCACCCGTCTCGCGATATTTCTTCAAGGGAGACAACTTTAATTTACAGGTAAAAAAACAATAGCGATACGATTATGGCCAGATCTGTCATGATACTGGAATGGTGGAACTAACAGACGCCTAAATGTGAGGAATGTGGGGGTCCCACTAAGGAAAAGAAAATAGTCCTTCTCAAAATAAGTACAGTCACTGCAGTCGGTCTCAAAATTATGTATCGGCGACTAAATCATTAAATGAATTAATGAGGTCATAGATAATCTATGATGAGGTAAACAAACAAATATTGAAATATTACATGCCAAAGGAAATATCCCGAATACTTAAACATAGGCCTACATTATGCAAGAGCTAAATCTGCCAATTGCGGGTCTTTCTTTAGGCCTGAAATTTTATCTAAATTATTAATTAGACATTAATTAACTTATCCAGACCATAAACATCCCTCGATGGCATTGATAGCCTGCGATATTTACTGGATTAGAACCCGGTCTGCTGCTTCTGATTAAACCAAAAACTGGATAATCGAGATTATGTTTTTTATCATACCGACTTTAGTAATGATGATCGAGGCTTGGCCCAAAATTCAATCGCTAAATACTCGGTTCAGGGTGGTCAATTTGACTTAAATTTTCAGCAAATTCCCTTTACATTATCTAGTTTTTAACTATAATAGTGAGAGAAATACCAGCTCTTTATCTGATCTCCCATAATGTATCTTTAATATATGTATGAATATGATTGCTTTGATTATCACAATACGCGCCAGAGAGAGAGAGAGAGAGATGGGGTTTAACGTCCACTCGACACAAACTAGGTCATTTCGGGACTAACATGTGGTTTAATTTTATTTCAATAATTCGCTTGCGCGTAGGGGTCTTTACGTACGTGCCATAGGTTCACGTAGTTTCAATATGTGCAGGTTTAAGACGGTACGATTCCTTGACATTTTTATTAAAGGACAATATTGGTGTCAGTCATTATTACATATGTGATAGAACTGGTTAAATACATTCCAAATATAATTTTAACACAGAGATCATTGCTACGGGAGACTTGTAACAAGCACGCGAAGAAACGGGAAGTGACGCCAAACATGACAAACACGAGTTGTCCTTCTATATAACAGACTGAAGTAACGAGCGGTAACAGACAAACGATCGAATTTCATTTCACTGATAATTCCGTTGAAGTTGAAAAGTTATTATATGGGACGGTGAGAGGGTATCTCACAATTCAAAAATAGAATTGGCTGTCACCAGATAAGGGACACGAGAAAAAGTAGAAAAATCCCGTGCATTCCCCCGTTTTTATTCATTCTGTTCTTAATAAAAACATGGTAATGCACGGATTTTTTCTAATTTGTTCGTTATCTTTTATCTACTGACAGCCAATTCTTTTTTTTTTGAATTGTCAGATATCCTCTCATCGTCTCATATAACAACTTTTCATCTTCAACGTAATTATCAGTGAAATGAAATTCGATCGTTTATCTGTTACCGCCCGTTACTTCAGTCAGTTATGTACAACTCATGTTTGTCATGTTTGACGTAACTTCCCGTTTCTTCACGTGCTTGTTACACATCTCCCGTAGCAATGATCTCTGTGTTAAAATTATATTTGGGATGTATTTAACGAGCTCTATCACATATTTTATAATGACTGACACCAATATTGTCTTTTAATTCGTTATTTTCAGAGATGAAATTACAGAATTGGGATGTCGGGAATGGTCTCAAATTGCGGGAAATGGCCTCCCATTTGCAAAAATTCAAAAATGAATTGTGTCCCGTACGCCTATGCATGTCCGCTCCCACTCCATCAACTGGTTAATCAAATGGTCAAAATTTTCTCAACTAGTCCCATTTTTTAACCAGTTAAATTCTCTTGACTCTTGACGATACATTGATAATACGTTAATTAATAATATGACGATATGATAATTTCACAGGTTGATTTTTGTAAATTAATTAGGGGTTTTGGCCTAAATTAATCGATTTATGATATATATTTTTTGACAGAGATTATAATCAGCTATGCCACCAAATCGCATATTTGGGGTTCATTTTTCAAAATTTTTCCGGGGGAGAGCCGGGCTCCGCGGTCAGTAAAAGGGGCCGCTCCGACACGGGAGCCCGGGCCGGTTACCGGCCCCAATCACTCGTATTAGCAGCCCCGTGGATATAGCCCAAAAATAAACGGGGTGGGGGCGAACGGCACCGTGGAGCGCGCCTTCCTTCGGAGAAGGGTTTAGGGTGCCCCTCCCCCCAAACATTTTGGAAAATAAGGTTTGCACCCGAGGAGAGGAACTGTGAAAATGACGGAAAATTTCAATTTTGAGGCTGAATTTTTGATATTGGCGAATTATGATATTTTGATATAAAAATTTGAAGGAAGGAATACGACTTTAGCGTACCTACAATAATTTATGAGAAAAACGAAAGTTCGGAATAGGGTTAGAGTGCGACTTGTATGAATTTTGAAAATTATCACGCCTGGTGCGGGCTTAAATCAATCTCATCCCCATCGTGAATTTGACCTTGAAAATTTCCTACAATCTCCAGTTGGCTTTCTTATGATAGATTTCTTCGGAGTCGGTTTTTTTGCGGTCGTGTGCGCCCAACCAATCTCAATCGGTATTATGCATTATGTGCGCCCCGGGGGGTTGGATGGCCGAATGGTTCATTTACACGGCAAATAATAATTTTCCAGTTTTAAAATTTCAAACTACCCAATTATTAAATTTATTTGCTACCGAGAATATCAATTGACGTTAACTTATAGTGGTTTTTCTGTCATACTGTTAAGCTGCCGCAGTTAGATTTAACATTGGTACCCTACTGGTTTCAATGTACAGGGAGAGAATGTAAATATAAATATGTGGACCTATGTTATGCTTATTTTCCATGTCTCGGTGGGGGGAAGACGAAAGCATCGATGCCAGAATGAGCGATATCACCAACGCAATTATATGGCAGCCACGATGGGTATTAGTATATATCAAAGACACCACGAAGAAAACCAAGGAACCCAAAACTATAATTATGATTGAGGTCGCCAACGTGTCAAAAGGCGGTGCGTGACAAAAAGAAATAAACCGGACTGTGCAAGCGTCACCAAATCGAAGAGAACCACAAACAATACCTGAAAATGAAGTATATGTTGCAAGGAATACCACCGAACAGCATGAACTAGATACTGGGCGACATTCTGTAACGCGCCAAGGTGGCGTACGCAAGAAGTTCAGTGCTTTGAACGGAAAGTGTAGAAATTACAACAACTGAGACGAATACACAGATACAAACATGCTAGCTAGTATTGATCATCTGCAGACGCAAGCAGGAATGAAAAAACAATCGCCAGCGTTTCTGCAGGAGTTTTTTTTTTATCCACACTGTGCACAAGCTTATACAGAAAACAACCGACCAATCGACGAAACAGACTATGACTCCATCTGGAAAGCAACCGACTATAGTCGACGAAAATCAAAGCGGGCTCAGGAAAGGACGGTCGACAGTGGACAACTTGGTCAGACTGCCGCGCATGTCACTGCAGACACGCCGCATTATAACAGGATCTTTTTATGTGCCGGGCTTGGTAGACCTGATCAAGGCCGTTGATTTAGTTTGATTCGTAAGGAGACAATGTGACAATAATGGTGGTGTGTCGTGCTCTAATACAATCTGTAGCGCGACAAAGCAAACTCGACGCCCTCCAATATTGTTATAATAAAGATCTTCGTATTGCGACTGTATCGGTTTGGGAATCAAGCGAGAAGCACTTTTACAGGAGACTGGAGAGTTCAGACTGTCACTATGAAGGAAAGAATTTGCAACCAGGTAGCGGGCCAAGATTTCATAACTATAGACCACAGACCCCCTACCTTTATAAGCATACAGGAAAGTAGATTCGCTAATGACCCAAAGATAAGTTTCGACAGTGACATCAAGGAAACGGTCCATCAACTGAAACTGGGTGATCTCATGATTATAAACACGGAACACCCAAGATCGCTCCATGGACCCTAGTCCCTACCTATACAGTGCCAGCCATTACACCTGGGGCCGGTTGCTCAAAACTAAGTTATTTTAACGATCCGTTAAACTCTAACGGATCGTTATCTTGGTAACTTGTCGTTTGTTAACGGTCCGTTAAATTTCTGTTGCTGGAAAGTCAATTTCATTATCCGTTAGCTAACGGATTCATTAAAGTTAATCCAAGAGAATACTGTTTGTTCATTGGCTGAATTTTAAATTTTTGAATTCAATGTACATGTATAACAACTTCATAGAAGTTAGTATTAACAAGAAACTGAAGACAGTGAGACAACTAACTGTGCAGTCTGTTCACAAAACTTGATTAAAGACAAAAAGATAACTAGAATTTACTACAGAAAACACCATAGAATACTTTATTTTTTCCTTTAGAAATTTTAGCATAAATCTGTAGGAAAAATTATGGGATTTGCACTACAGAATTATGGGGCCATTATTTCCTACAGGCCACCAAAATTCTGTAAAATAGTATAGAATTTCATCCTATAGAAAATGGAATAGGCCTGCATCGCCCAACCCTCTAGAATGTTCTATAGAAAATTACATAGGTAATCTATGACTTTTTGCTACAGCCAACTAATGCCATCATTAAACAGATAACGGAGACCAACACCTCCGTTAAATATAACGCCAAGTTAACTACACGTTAAAGTTAACGGGGCTTCCAGCAACAACCTTTCTCTCCGTTAAAGTTAATGATCCGTTAACTCCATGTTAACGGATCGTTAAAAGATAACAGAGCTTTGAGCAACCGGCCCCTGGACATTAAAGGGACACAGCAACAACCCACAGCATAAACTACATCATCACAGAATTCAACAGTACAGCTTATCCGGAAGGAGTACTTGGATGTTGGTCAAATTTAATAAGGATCTAGAGTCCTTCAAAAAATACCCGGTCACATAATATACCTGTGGAACAGAACGTCCTAGATTGTGG